AGACTCATGAAATTTTAGTAATGTAAGATGCCTAAAAACGAATAATTAACCATTTATTTATAAGGGTTTAAATGAAAACCAAGTTTAAAAGAACTAAAATTGAAAAAAATTCAAAATAAACTAAATAACAAAAATAGCACTAAAACGTTAAAAACGGTTTTCGAGTTCTAAACGAACTCGAATGGATAAAATCGACATGTGTCATGGCAAAGTTGTAATTTCAATCTGACTCCTCGTTCTCTTTCCAAAAAGGTCTTATGAGCTCAAATTGAAGCTCGAACACCAAATTTACAGATTTTGCTGTTTTTCCTTGTTCGGTCCAACTGTTCCTCAATCCATTTAGCCATATGTTCTACATCAATCCCTTCCACTTCCTAAGAACTCAACCTCGAATTATAATTCAACTAGAGAGGCTCATCATTTTCACGGAACTCGTACAAATCTACCACATTAAACGTACTAGAACTACCGATAGAAGTTGGCAAATCAATAATGTAAGCATTGTTGTTAATCCTCTTAAGTACTTTGAAAGGCCCATACCTTCTCGTTTCAACTTGTTGTGAATACCAACAAGGAATTTCTCATTTTTTAGAAACACCATCATTGAGTCTTCTTCCCGAAATTATTTATCTCGTCGGTGTGAATCTGCCACTGCCTTATACTTTACATTAGTCTTTTCCAACTTCTGTTTTACTTCATCATAGACTGTTAACACCTCTTTTGCCACATGTTCAGCAATAACACTCTTACTATTACCCTTGGGCAACTTCACTAAATCTACCACAAGATAAGGAACCTCTGTATGCACAATAGCAACTAAGAACCTGCCATTAGCACTATGAACTGCATTGTTGTATGCAAACTCCACCTGAGGCAGTGCGAGATACCACTATTTTGGCTTGTCTCCACAAACACTTCAAACCATATTTTCAAGGGTACGATTAGTGACTTCAATCTGTCTATCAGCCTGGGGATGGGCAGTGCTGCTTCGATTCAAATTCATCCCAAATAGTTTCCACAAGGTAATCTCAAAGTGCCCCCAAAAACGTTGTATCTCAATCTGATGTGATAGACTTGGAAACTTCATGTAATCGAACAACCTCACTGAAAAACATTTTAGTAATATTCGATGCATTTGAGGTCTTCTGACAAGTTATAAAATGAGCCATCTTGGAGAACCTGTCAACAACCACAAACATAGAATCTACACCTCATTGAGTACAAGGTAATCCCATGACGAAATATATAGGAAGATCTTGCCATATGTCTTGAAGAACATGGAGTGGCATGTACAACCCAATATTTTGTACTTGACCCTTCGACACCTGACAAGTTTAACATTCTGACTATAACTCTAACATCTTGCTTCAACTGTAGCTAAATATATCGACTTCCAAAATGGTTATTGTTTTGTCATGACCCAGATGTCCACTTAGACCTCCTCCATTCACATCTCGAATAAGTTTTTCACATAAAGATGAAATGGATAATGTAAAGATGGTTGCCCTTGAACAAATACCCATCCCTAATATAGAAATTTGCCACTATTTCACGATTCACACACTTGTTCCAAATATCCTTAAAATCATAATCATATGTATATAGTTCCTTCAACCATTCAAATCCAACAATCTTTTGTGACAGTGTGACCAGCAAAGAGGATTTCAAACTAAGTGCATCAACAATTCTATTTGAACTTCCTAATTTATGTTTCATCACAAAAGAAAATTTCTGGCACTAAGAGGACAAGTGCTGCACACTGGCTCATACTGTCCTTTTTGAACTTTTTCCTCAACAACTCTTCAATTTTCTCCCTCGAAATCTCATCCTCCTTCGAACTCATTCGATAATGAGGCAAATTTGGAAGACTAGCCCTAGGTACCAAATCAATTTTGTTATGAATATTCTTCATACAAGGTAACTAATTTGGTAACTCATCAAAAACCAAATCTTCAAATTTTGCCAATATTTTTTGCACTTTAGATGGAACACCATCATCTTCTTTATTTGCTGTAAAAAAATCCCCTTAACCACTACTGGATAAAAGCAATCAAGTTCTCTTATAAAATTTACCATCTATTTATCATTACTTGCAAGGGTAAGGAAACTCTCGGTATGTTGTTGGGTAGACTTCTTCGCCTGCTTGAGAGGAACCATAGCGATCTTATGACTACCTATTGAAAAGAGTACCACATTATCACTCCCATTGAGAGTTGAATCCACATCAAACTGTCATGGATGACCCAATAGGATATGACAAGCATCCATGTCTTTGACATCACATTCAATTTCATCCTTATAATGCTTACCAATGGAACAAGTACTTTGCATGTTTCAACAACCTGAATGGAATGACCTCTCTTTACCTAACCAAGGAAATAAAGTTTAGGATGGTTCTTTATTGGTAATTTCAACAAATTCACCAACCTCTTCGACACAAAGTTCTCACAGCTTCCATTGTCCACAATCATTTCACATACCTTATTCTTGATAGAACAAAGCGATCAGAAGATACACTAGCGTTGTCCCTCTTCCTTAGGCGACAAAAGGATCCGCTACGATAGAAAAAAAAAAGGCACTTCACACATTCCTCAAAAACAAACTCAAATCATGCAAAATCATCTTCCACCTCAATATCTTCTTCCTCGTCCGCTGTCTCCGGTTTTACCAAATTGAATTGCCTTCTTTTTGGACAGGTATTAGAACGATGCCCAAGTTTGTGGCATCTATAACAAATATCTCCTATGGGCTTAGCATAAGGATTTTCATTTTGAGGTACGCCTCAGATTTGACCTTTGTTTCGAATTTGACCACTATTGTTAACATTACTTCTGTTAAGATGGGCTGGGGTTTATTGTGGGGCCTTCCCTTTTGTCCGAAAAAATGGTCGATGATGGTTCGACAAGTGAGGGAGCTCTCTTATAAGAAATCACCTTCTTATCAGATTCCATCATCTCAAACTTCATCGCGATATTAATGACTTCTTGCAACCCAATTCTATATTGAATAACCACCTTCAAACCACTTGTATACCTGGGTACCTTTTGATTTCGAATTCTGATAGGTTGTTCCGCTCTGCCAACCACATAAATTCATTAGTATAGTCTGAAACTGTATGATTACCCTGTGTGCATCCAAGGGACATACGATATAAAATATGTTCATGATCTTCGGGTCAAAATCGATCTATCATAGATTGCTTCATCTTTCTCCAAATTAAAATCTGACTCTTTCATCATCTCCTTCGAGCATTTTGCAATTGATCCCATCATACTGTTACTGCAAATTTCAAATGGAATACCACCATCTTAACCATCTTGTCCTCCAAAACATCCATGATTTTGAAAAACCATTCAACGTCTACCAACCAATATAAGACGTCTTCGATCTTCATATTACCGAAGAATGGGATGATATTTGTTTAATATGATAATCATCAAAGGTATTCGATTTTGATGATTAGGGTCATGCGACGGCGCTTCAAACTCCTCATCTGTCTTCAATTTGCTTTCTCATGTTATTCCCTCTCCAAACTACAGGCTCAGCCACCCACTCACCTACAGCAACAATTGATGGATCTCTCCGATCTGAATAATATGATCATCAATCCGCCAATTTTGAGCATCCAAATCTCGTCACCCATAGTAATGAATCAAAGATATAGAGATGAAAAGGCAGGCTCTGATACAACTTAACGCAACATGAATTAATAAGGAATTCAAGCAAAAACCTTAAGAACTTAATTTTTAGAATCCACCAAATTGTAGAAAAAATAAACTCACAAAATTTTATTAATGCAATATGCCTGAAAATGAATAATTAACCCCGTTATTTATAAGACTTTACATGAAAACCTAATTTAGAATGACTAAAATTGAAAAGAATTTGAAATAAACTAAATAACAAAAATATAACTAAAATTTTAAAAGCAGTTTCGAATCCTAAATGAATTCGGATGGCTGAAATCCATCATATATCACAAAAAAGTAGTGAGTTCAGTCCGGCTCGTCAATCTCTTTTCAAAAAGGTCTTGTGGGCCCAAATAGGAGCCCGAACATCAAATTTGCAATTGGGAAAAATTCATAAATAAGGTATTTAGTTTACACCAATTCAAAAATCANAATTCATAAATAAGGTGTATGCTTTACACCAATTCAAAAATAAGGTTTATAGTTTGAAACTTCAAAATTCAGGTTTTTTTTTTAATTCTAATATAATATAATATAATAAACCCACCCCACATACGTGGCACACTGCTCCGGGGACTATTCCGGCAACCATTCCGACCACCACTCTTCTCCGGCGACCACTCTTCTCTGATGACCATTCCGGCTACTGCTCCGATTCCGACGACTATTCCGACAATTATTCCGATCACAGATTTATAATTTAATTAGTCACATATTAGTTTTCAGTCACAAATAATTATTTTTATACGTCACAGATTATTTTATGGTCACAGTTCAAAAATTTTATAGGTCACATTTAATTCGTTGGTCACATATCAAAATTTATAGGTTACACAGTCACATATTTCCAAATTAATTATAGGTCACAGGTCACATATTTTAAAATTAATCGATCACAAATTATTTCGAGGTCACAGACTATGGCCACTTTCGATCACCCTTCCAACCCTACCAGCACGGCCACTACAACCACTTGCAACCACCCTCACCCGCCACCACCGTCGCCACAACACTACAACACTACCAACAAAGCCACTGTCAACAAATCACTACACCACCACCTAGATCCAATGCACCACCATCACCATCTCGACCGCACCGTCACACCACCACCAACAGAAACACACCACCACAGAAACGAACCACCACCACCATTTTTCAACCTACCAACAACCTGCACCACTAAACAACCACTACCGCCTCAACACCACAACCACCAGAATGCTGCGAGCGGGGCCGCTCACATCGTCGCCATCTTCTGTGAGAAGGAAAACTTTGTGCGACGGCGCACAAACCCACACCCCAAACCCGTCATAGCCAGCACACCCCCACCCCGTCTTCTCGCCGCCCCAGAGACACCACCACCCCCGTTGCTGCCAACAAAGCAGGCATCACTACATCATAACCCAATAAAAAAAATCCCAAGCCCACCACTGCCAGAACCTCCACCCCCGTCGCCACTACCTAGATCCATCGCACCAGATTCACCACCACACCATATCGCACTTGACTGGATTCAATTTCACAGCAGCCATCGCCTTCGCCNGAGATTGAGTGAGTGAGTAGTGAGAAAAAATGAGATTGAAAATGAATTAGGGTTTATTTGAAATATTAGTGTAATAATATTATTTAAATTAACAAAATATCTTAATACCTGATTTTTGATTAAATAAATTTCATACCTAAATTTTGAATTTGAAAGTTTAAGTACCTGGTTTTATGTAATTTTCCCTTTGCAATTTACTGTTTTTTCTGTTTTTCCCTTTTCGAACCAACTGTTCCTCAATCCATTTAGCCATCTGCTGTACATTAGATGGGACGATAACGCTTTGGACAAGGAACCTCAACCGCCTCGCCCGGCTACCAAATTGATTCGAAAAAAGCAAAGGAGAGATGAGGTTATATAGAGTGTGGGCCTTGCGTGACTTCTTACTTTTACTTAGTTGGCTGTCACGTACCTTGCCTTGTAGGACAAGACCTAACCTATTTTATTTACGTTTTTTCTTTAATTTGACTTTGTTCGTGTATGTTACTTGTAGTATAGAATGTCAAACGTTAAGATTACTTTGCTGACAGCCCTTCTGCTAGGTCTTTAGTTTGACGATGTAATGCTTATCCACACCATATTCTTGTAAAAGTTTGTGCAAAGTTTAATATTTTGCTAGAGGAGCATCAATTCTAACTATCGTTCACGTGTGATGTTGATTCATGATTCTATGTGGATGAAAGGCCACTTTAATTTAAATGTCAAGTCATGGTAAGTGTGCAATATTGGAGATGACTAAATAGTTTATTATATTGTTCAATTCTCTTCCAATATTTTGTAATGAACATTGATTCATTTATCACATAAAAATCATCCTTATGGTTGTCACACACTATTTTCACTCCATCCCAATAACCATCACTTGTAAAGTTAACGCAATTATTATCGTTCTCATAATTTTGATTAAATGGAATCATTGCGCTCACATGCATTAAATTTGATTGCATTTGCCATTTTGCATCAACCTTGCTCTAGAGTGATAGAGTCAATGACACACTCATTGACCCTGGCCTAAGGATGGCAATGAGACGGATATGGGACAGGTCGGTCATTCCCACCCCCATCCTATCAGGTATTTTTGTTGGCAACAGCCCATTAACTAAATATGTCTATGGTTAACTACTAGACGGGCTGCAAGAATAGTCTGAAGCTGTATCCAATCGAAGAAGAATAGTTTTAAACAAGATGAAACAAAGTGATACTCCACCCATTTATAAATATTGTGTGTCAAATGTTCGATGCAAACATGAAAAATGCCTACGTGGACAGGTTGCATGACACAATTATAAATATTATATCACGTTTCTGGTAGCTCAAGTTTTTAGATGAGTCGGTTCAACACTTTCTTTGCATATTCATAGATACAAGGAAAATAATAAAAGCAAATTACTATAATTCGGATAGAGGGCTTGCATTACCATAAAATGACATCAGAATTTGATGATATAAATATATAGAGTACATCAACGCTTCATAGTTCATAGCATAACTGTGCAGCCCTAATTGCAGCTCAAAACAAAAAGTGCACTTCCATGACTTACTAATTCCATGGACAATAAATCTTTTACAACTCCAAAGTCTTTCCCACTCCATTCTTCTCTGCATTTGCATGAAGCAGGATTTAGCTTTCGACCAGGAAGTGCCTTGGCCAAATCCACTATCTTTGTAGATACCACGGTCTTCCCAGGATTCAAATTAAAAAAGGCAACATATACTTCTCCTGAAAAAGAAAGAAATCAATTTGAATGAAAGATTAAACTAGAGCATCAAAAAAAATTAAATACATGTAAAAACCGTGTCAAGAATCAACATGTCATCCCTTGTATATCAACATATTAAAGATAATCCCCTGAGTTCCACTTCGTAGTTGGAGAAGAATAGTCCTTCAGTTTTGATGTTCGCTTCGAATTTGAAGAGTATTAAGATAGTTGCAAATCAGATTTATGAACATCAATCTCTATTTTCTTTATCTATTCTTGTGGTTAAAATCTACAACCAAAAAATGTTTCGATTTGGACAAGTTTGAAAATTCAAACCTCGTCTTCCAGTTGCAATCCATGCGCGAGCTCCATTAGGAGAATTAACTGCATGAAAGTTAACTAATTAGCAAGTAGAGGTAATAAATGGGAAAAAAATATATATATAACCTCTAAATTAAAGATAATGTACAAGAAGTGTCACCTTTTGCTGTATTTATGGATGCACACAAACCGGAATAGCTATTTGTTAGGGTTCCATTACTGTTCAACTCCCACATCTGTTCGGATCAAATGAATTATTTGTTAAGTTCAAGTTCAATAATCATCGACAAAACAGCTCCATATGTATAAATACAGATTTGGTATGTAGTACTAGAGAGACTTGTAGTACTAGATAGACTCGATGGTATAATAAACAAACCATAAGTGAAAAATCACAAATAATAATAATTGGGATAATTTCACAAACGGTCACTGAACTTTAAAACTTGCAGAATAGGTCAGTGAAGTTTCAGACGCTTTCACAAACGGTCACTGAACTTACTATTAGGACTGTTATGATGTTAATTCAAACTTAAAAGGACAAAAACACGTGGATATAGAAGCTTGAAGACCTCTAGTGCAAATTTCTTGCTATCAAGTGGAAATAAGTAACAAGGAACTGGGATCCAGAATTAAATTTAATTGCAACATCCAAGTTATGAATGAGAAATAGGTATGAAACCTCATACAAATATACCTGGTTGGCCTCCCGTCTGCAGGGTAAAAAGGAACCCCTTTTAAACTCTTTGGAAGTAAGCTTCTTATGTGGGGATGCACCAAGGCAGAACTCCGTCCTCTCTGTCGCAAATAAACGGACCTTCCCATCATATAGGTGGTTATTTGTCACCTCTTCATCTCTGCATCAGCATGTCAAGAATAAAATAAATCAGCAAAACTGATGATATTATGCTCATAATAACCTGAGAAGAAAAAGTTATATGAATGAGAAGCTTCTATTACGATTCCAAAAGATGATGTTTCTTGTATAGGCAAAATGGCACTTGAAGTTCACTTAATTTCTCTTTCCAACAGACTTGTTCAAGATCATCCTCCACAGTTCTAGTCGACCAACCTCTTGCATTGTCATCTTTGCAGCTTGAAAGACCCAACACATGGAAATCTGAGATACCCTTACTCATCTGATTTCTCAGTCGGCTGGTCCAAGTATGTCGGCTTAAGCTACTAGTAATATAAGGAAACTGCAAATTAAAAGATGGATCTCAGAGATGAATCCTAACTAGGTCTCATAATAAGTTCAGCTAAAGTCGAAACATGCCTCTGCATTGTTTGTGCTAAAGGAGTTTATCTCCAATAGAGTTGGGTTTGTGATGAGTTTGAATGTGATCTCATCGAGATGTCTCATATCTCCTCCGAACATCAGAGGAGACTTGGCCATTGACCATAAAGCTATCTGTCAAAAGAATTTCACACAAAGTCGTTGCATGACCTTCGACCTTGAAAGTACTTGAAAGAGAAATTGGCAGTAGTTACAGAAAAATACCTGAGTTTTTTGCTCGTCTAGATTAAGATTACATTTTCTATGAGGACCTTCATTTGAACCTGTCAACAAATAAGGTGTTCAATAATCAAAATGCTCATAATGAGTTTAAGGGAAAAAAAGAGTTTTCCATTTTAATCAGTAGTAGTATTTTCCTTCTTGGACACCTGAAAGCAAATTGGACTCATCTTTTTACCTTGGTCGGTAAGCCATCCAAATGGAAGCATATCTAAGTCGGGCCATGATTTGCCTCTCAGGCCCTTCGCTCCAATCATATTAGCAGCAGCAAAGTCCCTAATCCAAACACAAAGAGAAAGCAAAATGATACAATAACAAGTAAATGGAAAGATGAGTAATAGACTAGAACATGAAAATAGCATGAATCAGATTTTCAGTAACAAATAATATACCGGGCAACATCAAAATGAGTGGAAACATCTTTCCATGAATCCCAATCATCCCCTGTAACCCTATACATGTTTACAAGACCATTTACATCTCTTGCCATGGCTGGTGTTGCACTAGTGCCGGGAGACAGGGAATACAGGATTGGGCGGTTGAGTTGTGTCAAGACCTGCATGATTTCACTGAAGATTCTGAACTTGCTAGTATTTCTTTAATAAAAACTGTTTATGCTTTTAATCTTCTTTATATTTCCTCATGAGTTTTGGGGAGAAAATAAATGTGTGCAGTATATATACCTCGGAAACATAACTTATCTCGGCTAGATCTAAATCATCACCAAATACACAGTCATTTTTCACTGTTAAGAAGCAGAAGTACTTCAAAAATTAGCAAAAGCAAAACAATATATTTGAGCTTCTAATATAACAAACCTAGAGGCAGGGTGGAGAACAAAAATGGGTTACAAGCCGAAACCAAAAAAAGGGAAATAGAACTTAATTATTTTATTTCTTTGAATTGAACTGAAGAATAGCTTAAGATTTAAGAAATCTCTCTTTGCTAGTAGAGTTGTAAAATTACCAAAATCAACACCCCAGTCAGCATATTGTTTATATAGGGACCTCAAGAATGCTTTTCCAGCTCCCGACTTGGTATCCACACTCATGAAACCATGTTGCATCCATGCACAAGCCCTCTCCTTGATTCCTACGTCTTTTGCACGCCACTCCCGTCCCGAATCTTTATAAGCACTTCCCTGAGTATTCATTAGAGTCAACAAGTGAAGAAATGGTGCAGAGGCTAAACAATTATGATAAGTTTGGTAAGGTGGACTGCACAATAATTACACCCCAAACATGCCTTTCAAGTTTATGGCTATGAGCATCCTCAAGTGTAGAGTCCTAACTCATTTAAATTTTCTCATCGGCAAGTGGTTGCATTACCGTATTAATGTCAAGGATCGGCGTGTTTGCATTGAATGCCTGCGTACTGATACCTCTCATAACATGAATGCCGAATTTCAAACCCATGTCATGAACTTTCTTAGCCACTTCAGTGAAGCCTTTCCCACCCTGGGAGGAAGGCCATCTATCTGGGTCAGGAATCATTCTTCCCCATTCATCGATCACATCAAATCCAAGAGAATCAACGTAAGCGCCTTTTACTTTCCTCCTATACCAAAGATAATCCACTACCACATACTGCATAGAATCGCATGGTCAGGAAAAAATAATAATAATGAACAAGAAAATCAGCTAGCCATTACACACAATAACAAGTTTATACTCCCATTATTAATCAAGAAACCACTTAAACATTTTCTCTAAAAATGCAAAAACAACCATTTTATACACAATTGATTATGTCTAAAAGCTATATTTTCAAGAAATAGTCAAGGACCTCATAGCCATGGGCGCGCAATCTCTGAGAAACAAGCTCAGCATTTTGAAGAAATTCTTCTTCTGAAACTGTCCAGCAAAACGAATCATAAGAATTCCATCCTCTGGGTGGTGAGCTAGCAAGCTCTGTTTGACCCCGAAATCGAGTTCCTGAAATTACCCTGACAAAAAAGCACCAAACCAAACATCATTTTCTTTTTCAAATCCAAACTTACTAGACATAATTGGGTTTTTTTTCTTACAGCTATTAAAACAAACAAAATCAAAATTCAATAAATCGCTCAACAGAACTAGCAAGCAATTGAATTATCAGCTTCTTACTGATTAGATATTCCATCATATTTATTGCTTTGAGGAAAAAAATAATGAAATCGAATTGGGTTTCCAACAAGAACCAATCATCAGGAAGAAGAATAAATAGAGATTCACTCAAAATAAATAATTTGAAGAACTGGATTTTCCCTCAAAGATCACAAAAATTAAAAAAAAAAAATCGAAAATCAGCACTTAAAATTTTAAATTACACTAATAAAAATTAAACCGACAGAATTACAGATACTACAAGCTAAAAGAGATAAAGATGAAAAAAGGTTTACCTTCGAAGCAGAAAACTGGAGAGAAAAGTGAACCAAAAACAAATAATAAAACAAGACCTCATTGTCAAAATCACTGCTTTCAGAAATTCAAGAAAGAAATTACGAAATAAACAGTAGCAGTCACTGCAGTCGGATTAGATGCTGCTTTAACAGATATCTTATGAATGATTGTGCATGCTCAATGACGTGGATGTATATATGAGGTGTCGTCAAGAATGGTGCTCCAGCTCTAGGGGCGTGATGGTGGGGACCCTCAAAGCTGGGTTCAATCTTTTTTTTTTTTTTTTTTAAAGAATGGTGCTCCTTGCATATGACATGGGGAGGTGGATTCTATTCGAACTCCATTTTGATGTGATTTGATAGTAAATTTATTTTGAAATAATTATTTTTTGGAGAATGAATAGTTAAATGATAAAATAAAATAAAAAATTTTGAGTTTAAGTGTAATATTAATTTATGGAAGAGTGTGTAATTAAAAATGCATGATCAAAAAAAGTAGAACATAACGACTCACCTCAACCCAACTAGAGCGTTAAATTTATCAATATATATGTATACTTTTCCAAAATTGGCGACTAAATAAAAAATGTTTTGTATATCTTTTATTCTTGCTGTTGGGTTTACCAGAATTAATTCTGTTTTATCACACAAATCCTAACAGCATAACATAGTGGGATTTTAAGGACGCGATTCATAGGTGTCCGTGCCCGGTTACTGTTCAGCCTTTTGTTATTTTTTTAAAAAAAATTCCACTATTTCCTTGTTTTACCTTCTTTTTTTTCAACAGTGCAGGATAAAACATATTCCCTCTTAAAATTTCAATCTAAAAAACTTTATTACGGATAAAACAAATTATAAATAACTCATCTTTTCAAGTAAAGTGGTTCAATTAGAACAAAGAAAATTCTACCCCGCATGGAGATTAACACAAAATAAGCAATTCACATAGACATGACCATATGCCAAGTTGAGCTATTTCGGCCCATATAAACTCGAATTTGGCTCGGCCTTAGGCACGAGCAGAGCTCGACTTGTGTCCAAAAATGTCATTTGGTTCGGCTTGAGGAATGTGAGCCTCATGGGCCGAGCTGATCATATTTTTATTTTTTGAAGTAGGTAAGTTAAAATTATACAGGAATAATTTGTTGCGTGCATAATTTTTAAAAGTGAGGAGTAATAAAGTAAATTAACGCAAACAATACTTACAAATTATGATGAACTGATATTTTTTAAATGCTTAGCTATTAATTTGTCCACTTTATCTTGGATCCCGAACTCTGCATTTTCTCAATTCTTTATACACATTAAATTCTTTAGCCCCTGTTTGTCTACCATTTTTCAAAAAATTATTTTCTACAGTAATCAATCTCTACCACACATTCAAATAATAAAATATTCTACACATAAACCGATAAAGTTTCTTTCAATTTCAACCACACATTTTCCAAAAAATACTATTCATTACACCATTTTCTTCTCAATAATGGTTGACAAACAGGCACTTAGTATGTCTTCTTTAAACCTCAATATATATAGTTAGACAAAATATTATCGTGACCCCTAATAGCAGATTTCGATACTATAGTACTTACATGAGGTGTTAGTAGATCACATACTAGAAAGATGCTGGTTTCTTCTCCAAAACTTAAGTACGTCAAAAGTTTTTGTTGTTGACCTACGGTTGATTATAACATTAGAGTTTGACTATAACAAACAAATTAATCTTGTTTACTAACAATTGAATTTTAAGTGATTATAGTTTTCAAAGCATCCAATGATAAATTGATCTATCGTCGTCAAAAGATCTTAAAAGACAAACGTCAAAGAAAGATCAAGATCAAGAGTTTAAGAGTCAAACATGAATAAAAAATCAAAACAAGAACCTAAGATCCAAACTTCGATGTAAGATCAAAGACTAGATTTCTTAGTTCAAATATAAAGGTACTAATACTTTGATCTTTAGCAATAAATGATAAAATCTCAAAAATCATTTTGTGCACTAAAAGTTATTTTGATCACTTGCATAAAATGTTTTGTTCAAAAGTAAAATTGATTTTGAAAATGATGTTTGAATTTAGATCATATTTTTAAAACATCATTTACTTTGAAAACTAGTTAAAAACGCTTTCAAAAAATCTACATTTGTCAAAATATTCAAATCGAATCAAACAAGGTCAAAAATGAAAAAATTGGTCGAAACGATCGGACATCTGGTCTGAGCATGCAGACGTCTGAATGCTCGTCCGATTGGTCATCCAGATTCTCAGAAAATTTTGTAAAATCTTTCTTTATAAATTCGTGAAAGGCGGACGTCTGGTTCATCCATGTGAACGTCCAGTTGATGCAACGTTTAGGTTTTTTACCGTTAGATTTCATATGTATAACAGCTATTTTGGTCATCCAATTAGTTGTCTGATTCGACAGAATATTTTGCTTTTTGAGCTCTATAAATACCCTAACTCTTTCCATTCTCTAATAAGAGTTTCAAGAGTATTGAGTGAGATATATTTTGAGAGAATTCTTTGAGGCTACATTGCACTCATTTCATTTATTTTTTTATATCAAGAGCGTCGATTGATTCAAACTCTTTTCAACATCTTCATCAAAATTTTCCATACCTCTTTTTATACTTAACTTATTTATATCATTCATAAAAGAGAGATATATTTTTAAAAAAAGTTTTGAATTTACATTGTATCTATTTCTACTTCTCTATTTCAAAATTGTAATAATTGAGTCAAACTCGTAAAATCATAATATTCATCAAAGTCTTTCATATCTCTTTTAATACTTAATTTATTACCATTATTCATTAAAAGAGATATATTTGAGAAAATTTTTGAACTTAAATTGCATTTAATTCTTCTCCATTATCTCATTGAAAAATTTTGATATATTGAATCTAATTTTTAATTATCATATTCATCAAAGTTTTTATCCAACACTTGAGCTATTATTTGTTACTATTTATTGAAGTGTTGCCTCTCTTGGTACTTAATTCGTTTGTATCATTTATCAAGAGAGGAGTTTCATTGTAAAATCATTTTGTTATACTTGTAAGTCATATTAATGTCTCATAAAACTTAATAGTATATGTCATATTGAGGTCCTTACCAGTTCAATATTGTATAAGGATCGGTGCTCATTGTTTATAAGTCACCATAAATGTTGTAAATTGTTGGATTGTACTTTAAGTCAATCAATATAATGAAAAGTTCTTGCTGGTGTCGAAGAGTTTGGTACCGGAGGACATAGATCATTACTTTGAATCTAACATCCACAGTTATATCGTTTGTATCATCTCTTCCCTTTTACATATCGCTTTAATATTTACGTTTGTTATTTGAATTAATCTATTTAGTCTTTACTTACTTGAATTTTGATTAACTCTTCTAAAAAGTTTTTAAAACCAATTTACCCCCCCAACCATCTTGGTTATTTATTCTTGAGCTATTAATTGGTATCAAAGTAAGGTTCTCATTTTTAAAGATTTTACAATATTGAATAATGACCAACCACAATCTTCAAAACATTGAGGAACATTCTACAAATCATCCTCCCTTTTTTGATGACACACATTATAATTATTGAAAAGTTAGTATAATAATTGAATTTGGTCCCTATGTGTCTAAAAAGGTTATTAAAGAGGATGGTAAGTTGGATCAAATAGTTTCTAAACTTAAAGAATATGATGAAGATGATAAAAGAATATTATCGTTGAAAGCTAGAGCCAAATATATACTTTATTGTGCTTCGGATAGAAATGAATTTAATCGTATTCGAACATGTGATTCCGCTTATATATTTGGCATGCCTTAGAAGTTACTCACTTGGGCACTAGTAAAGTAAAAGAAACCAAGATAAATCTTTTAGTTAAGAAATTTAAAAATTTCTTTATGAAACAAAATAAACATATTATTGATATGATTACACGTTTCACCAATATTGTTAATGTTCTCAAAGATTTTGATCGAAAATTTTCTAACGGTGAACTTGTGAGCAAAATGCTTAAATCTCTCTCATTGAGAATGTTAATAAAAACACCAAAGATATCAACATTTATATATTAGGAGAGCTATATGGAATATTGATGACATATGAACTAAATTACACTGAAACAAAAGAGAAAACAATGAAAAGCAAAGAAGATGAAAAGCACAATATTGCTTTAAAGTTGGTAATTGATGAAGACACTTCAAGTGAAAATATGAATTATGAAGAGTTTCATGATCTAATTCTTCTTGTCAAAATTGGAGTCGTCTTTGCAACAATTGGCGACTTCAAAAGAAAGAAGAAAATGGCTAAGAGAAAAAGAAATAAGATTGTTTGCTATAATTGTGACAAACTCGATTGTCCGAATAGGAATAAATTCTTTAAAAAGAAAGCACTTCAAGCAACATGAAGTTAAAGTGACAATGATGATAATGAAGAAAATGAAAGTAAAGAGGAAATTGCCAACATGTGCTTCATGACAATTGAAGATGAGGTAAACACAAATGACAATTCTTCATATGATAAATTATCTATCTCATATGATAAACTTCTAGAAGAATTTGAAAAAAATTGCTCTCAAACATATAATTCTTAAAAAGAAAATTTCTTTTTGAAAAATGAGATAAAGAAACTTTTGAAACTCAAAAGGATTTTGAGAAAGGGAAAGTGGATTACGATTATTTAATTAGGGAAAATTCCTCGTTACAAGAAAAGATTTTAAATTTGACTGAAATCGTTCACAAATTTACTCAAGGCAAGAAAAAATTTTGATATTATGCTAGGTGAAAAAAAATGTGTTTTTGGATATAAACCATTTTCGAAATAAAAATTTCTTAAAACTTTTTTTGTTAAAACCTTTAATAGGGATGGCAATGGGCTGAGTATAAGACGAGTCGGTCATTCCCACCCTCGTCTCGTCGGGTATTTTTGTTACCTTATTCCATCCACATACATGATTAAAGCGAGATGAGGTGGGGCCCACAATTATCGAGTTGAACTGGTTTTTTTTGTCATCCCTAACCTCTACTTCTCCTCTTTCAACGTATTTTTTGTAATAAAAATAGACATG